ACCTCGCCAAAAAGTAATAATGATAATGATAATGATAAAATAGATAAGTAAATAAAAATATAATAATTCATAACCTAACAAAAAGATAAATATAGAAAAAAATAAAACTAACATAATCACTCGTAACCTAACCATAAAAAAGTAATAGTAACAATAATAATAATATCAATAATAATAATGATGACGATGATAAAAAATAATAGTAATAATAATGGTAATAATAATGACGATAATAATAATAGTAAGAAAAAAATCATAACAATATAAACCAAAACAAACCAATAAATGGCACGCAAACAAGAGGCAAGATCCTGTACCTTGTCCATCCATAGCTGGGTTTTCGGAATCCTGGCCGCCTCTGTCTTCATGTCTTCCCCAACAGGCGGCACGGGTTTGGTTCCGAACAGTGACGATTTCTCCTCTCTCGTGGCGTTCTTGAAGGGGATGTTCAGCGTGTTCGCCCAGGTTTCCAGGCGCTTGTTGTAGAACATCATGACGATGTACAGGACGTAGAGGAGAAGGAGGAAGACGGATTCGTACCTGTGGAAAGGGGGAGGAGTTGTTTGTTTGTTTGTTTGGTTGGTTGGATTGGTGGTTAGGGTTGGGAAGTGGGTGGGTGGTTGGAGTTACACACACTCACACACACACACACACACACATACACACACACACACACACACACACACACACACACACACACACACACACACACACACACACACACACACACACACACACACACACACACACACACACACACACACACACACACACACACGCACATAACAGCCTCTTCGAAAACAAACACAAAAAGATTTACAACCTTGGCTTCCACTTCAATGCTACATTAAGCCGGAAATCCAAAGAACTGAAATCAAAACTTTCCGACCATCATCGAAAGACCAACGAGTTAAAAAAAAAAAAAAATGTTTCGAAAGTCTTGCTCCAGACGTGGGATTTTTTTTCTTCCTCTTCTTCACCATCATCTTCTTCCTCTTCGATTGTGTCTTCTTCGTCTTCGTTTTCTTCTTCTTCTTCGTCTTCTTTGTCTTCGACTTCCTCTTCTTCTTCTTCGTCTTCTTCGTCTTCTTGTTCTTGTTCTTGTTCTTCGTCTTCAGCTTCTTTTCTTCTTCTTCTTCTTCGTCTTCTTTGTCTTCGTATTTCTCTTCTTCTTCTTCGTCTTCTTCGTCTTCTTATTCTTCTTATTCTTCTTCGTCTTCAGCTTCTTTCTTTATTCTTCTTCTTCTCCTTCGTCTTCTTTGTCTTCGTCTTCCTCTTCTTCTTCTTCGTCTTCTTGTTCTTCTTATTCTTCTTCATCTTCAGCTCCTTTTCTTCTTCTTCTTCTTCTTCTTCTTCATCTCCCCTTACTCTCCTGCCCACCGTTTTCAATTAAACACTTACGGTAATGTCCTCATTAAAAAATAATAATAATAAACATAAAAATAATAAAAGTGTAATAAGGAAATACTGTCTTTTAGATTACTACTTCCATTATCTAAATTATTATTGTTGTTGCTGTTGACAATGATAATAATAATGGTCGTAATAATGATAATTGTATGGGAAACAACAATAACATCAACAATAACAATAATAATAATGATAAAGATAAGAATAATACTGGCAATACTATATACTACTACTAATAATAACAATTATACTAATAATGCTGCTAATGATGAAGAATACGATAACAAAAATACCAGTAACAACCCAGGAACGATAACAACAATGATAACAACAAGAATAATGACAACAACAACAACCAACGACACTAACCCACGATAACAAAAACAAACAAACAAACAAAAAAACGATTCATCGCACTCACCAGTTGACTTTCTCGTTATAAATGGTGAGTAAGAGACCACAGATCGAGATGCAGTAGAATGTTGAGTCTCTTATCAGCGGCCACCAGTTTATAACGATAACTTGGCCGGCGAAGAGGGCGCAGACAGAGATGACGAACATGATGTTAAATACGGCTGACCCGATGACGCCACTGATGCCGATGTCGTCCTGGGGGAGAGGAGGAGGAGGAGGAGGATAGAGGGGGGGGGGGTTGTGAGGGGGGGAAGTGGGGTGAGGGGTTGTGAGGTGAGGGGGGGAAAGGGGGGGGAAGGGAGTGGGGAAGGGCGGAAGAGGGGGTAATGGGTTGGAAGGGGAGGCGGAGAAGGGGAGTGGGGGGAGGGGTTGCGAGGGGAGGTAGTGAGAGGGGAGCGGGGTGAGAGGTTGTAGAGAGAGGGGGAAAAGGAGTTGAAAGTGAGTGGGGAAAGGCCGAAGAGGGGGAGTGGGGATGAATACGCAAAGGGAGGTAGATGAACAGGGAGGTAGAGAAGATGAAAAGGAGGAGGAGAAAGGAGGTTAAAAAAGGGGGGGAGAGAGGTAGTGTGGTGATGGAGAGAGAAAAATAGGGGGGGGGGGAAGAAGTAAATGGAAAAGAGGAAGAGGGGAAATAAAGGAGAAGGGAAAAGGAAGAGAGGCGGAGTAGAGAAGAAGG